TTCGAGAAAGCCTACGATCAAGTAAATTGGGCGTTTCTCAACGCGAGTATGGAGAAAATGGGTGTTGGACCCAACTTCAGAAAATGGGTCAGAGTCCTCTATAACGATGCATCAGGATGCGTCCAGGTCAACGGTCTTCTGTTTGAACCCTACCCAATCTCAAGATCTGTGCGACAGGGGGACCCCCTTGCTCCGCCAAACTTTCTATTTGTAATGGAAGCTATCACGTCTTCTTACGCAAAGACCCCGCAATACAAAGATTGCCGGAAATCAATGTCGGTACCCATCACCACATCCAATTCCCAACAGTCATAATGTTTGCTGATGACCTCACGGTCCTTATAAGAGTTTCGGATTCCTCGGCGAAAGCGCTTGTCAGAGCAATGGAAGCTTTCAGGCTGGCCTCTGAAATGCAAATAAATTGGAAAAAAACAGCAGGCTGGTGGCTTGCAGAGGAAGAAACACCTAGGATGGAAGGTCCTGAAGCCGACATGACGTGGGAAAAACCGGAAGAGCCGACAAGATACCTGGCAATGGTGGTAACTAAGGATGGCCCCGCCCCACAGATGGCACAAAACCTGCTAACTAAGCAAATTAACAGAACGGATCAATGGGGGAATACGTTTACATCATTGCTACGAAGGGCCCTAACCATCAACACATCTATCTTCTCCATGATGTGGTATAATGCCTCCATTTGGACTATACCTGATCACACGACCAAGGAACTGAACCGCAGAGCCAGGGCTTACCTCTGGTCAGGCGATCCTAACAAAACTAAATACATACCCGAGATAGCCTGGCATTACATAACAAGAAGGCCATCTAAGGGGGGTCTACGAATCATCAACCCGAAGCAGGAAACTAAAGCTCTTCAGATCAAGTGGACCATTAAGATGCTAACCCAACCCAGACTGGCATGGCATAAATTAGCACTAGACAACATCAGAGCAATAGCCCCTATCGACAGTCCAACCAACATGCCAGGCCTCTTCTGGGTAATGAACAAGGAGTGGTCTCCGAAGACTAGCCGTAGGAGACGATCAGCAAATACCCCACTGAATGAGTCGCGGCCCCCTACCCCTTGCTGGACTGCTCTTATTCATATATGGAGAGAAATTATGCCCAAGAAGAACAAGAAGCCCAAATCTAAGGATGAAATGTTGCGCCAACCCCTGTTTGGAAACCGTGAGAGATGCAAGCACTCACTCACTCTCACTTTCAAGCGGCCAGCGATGACTCTCATGGATCACGCACGGAGTATGGAGGGTCAGTCACATCTGGGATGAAGACAAAAAGGATTGGATTGACGAGGAAACAATCAAATCACTCCTGAAGAGGAATTCTCTTGGAAGCCAGGCGAGTGGGGAGTTCGGACACAGGAGATGGTACCTGCCAGGGCATATCAATTCTCCAACAGGGCCCCGGGATCAGACCTCTCGGGGGTATTCACCTCATTCCCGATAGACCTATCCAATCCCAAATCCCCCTCCATCTATAACACAGACCCACAACAGTCAGTCCTGAGCTCTTTCACGCTTCAAAAAGTAAGGAGTATTAGGCAGTTGGCCAAAGGTAATCTTCCAAATTGAAACAGCAATCCAAGATTTAGAGTTTGACCCAGATGAGTGGGCATGGTCCTCCGACAACAACAGACTCTGCAAAAAGCCCATTCAAATCACACAATACACAGTCAAAATGGGCTACAGAATGATGCTAAAGACGAAAGACCCAGATCCCGTGATTAAAGTTAGGTGGAACAAAATACTGGGCCAGGAAGCTGAACAAATATCCAAAATACCTTGGCAGAAATATCAATCAAAACGGCCGGTCAAAATAAGAAGCTTACAGTGGTTCATTGCTTACACTGCACTACCTGTGCACAGTTGGCTACACATCAGAAGGAAAATAAATGACCCGAACAGTTCAGATATCTGTGTAGTATGCTCTGACAATGAACAGGAAAACATCACACACTGCCTGATCACATGCAAGGGAGCTACTGACTACTGAGCACGAGCATCTACTCTATGGAACCACCTGTTCTCTTCTCCTTTCCCCCAACACCCAATCCAACTACTCCTATGGACCAGCATTCCTACTAACTTTAACAAGTCCGAGAGCATTTGGTTTGGCATGATTCGAAAGGTGACACTCTGGGTCATATGGAAGGAAAGATGCAGCAGAACTTTGGACAACTCCAGCAATCCATGCGAAAAGGTATGGGCGACGACCAAATCATTAATCGAGACTGAAGTCTTCTCCCAATGGAAGAAAGTCAGGATTCACGCTCAGGAAAATCCGGAGAACCAGCAAGATATTCTGGCAAAATTCACGAAAGTTTTGCTGGTCAATGGAAAGGTAGCGTTTATTCAAGGACTTCACCTCAGGTGGAAAGACTGGCACAACTCCTGTCCACTTCAGAGAGCACGGGGCGGTCAAATCCTACAGGCTGATCCTTATCATTTATCAGGGGAAGGAAGTTAAGCTGACAGCCGTTCCTCCATGTCACTGATGTAATCATTCTGTCCGGAGCTCCCTCGTCCAGATGGAAGGAAGTGCGAGTGTGTTCCATAAAGGAACTGACGAATCTCTTCAAAACTATAGCTGAAGGTTTAGGGTTTAGGGTTTAGACAATCAAGGCAAACAGGGATCAGAATGGTAGGGATCTCATGAGGCACATGGGCGGGGATTTAGACAGAATTGGCAGCTTTTGTAGCGTCCAGGCCCTTTCTTGCCATTTATGTTTTATCTGACAGGCCATTATAGTGGACCTGAAAGGAAAGGGAGAAGCAGGGCAAGCTGACAGTCAATCCTCCACGGTGCTGGAGTAATCAATGCTGGTCAGGGTTCCTTCAGCCAGATGGAAGTAAGCGTATGTGTGTTCAAGATGTAATATTTTATTCTGACTTGCCGGTGGAATAGGAACCGGACTGGTGCTCCCAAGAATGGAAATGGAGCCAGGGCCATAAGGACCTGTTTTATGGAAAAAAAAAAAAAAGATTTTTAAATATATATGCTCTCATTGCTCTGTTTGACGATATATACTTTTGTCCGGCCGGACAAGTGGTCCCGGGCCTAGGTAATGGCCTTGAAATATTATCATTGAACTGACAGGTCCCAGGTGATTCAGAATTTGTTTTCTTCTGTGCATCTAGCCACATCGATTCGTAAAAAAAAAAAAAAAAAAAAAAGTTTGCCTCGCTTGCACAGAAAAACTCACCATAGGTCGCCGATGGATGCGATTGAGCCCTCAAGAAGGGGCCTTGCCGTGATATACATGTTCTGGGCTAAGGCCCCCAGCAAGCCTCGTGCCCGCCCTAAGTGAAGGCGGGCCAGCAAATCAACAAGAGCCCTTTGTTCAAACATTTCACGAAGTGGGGTCCATACAGTTGCAGCACGCCAGTTGGTTGGAGTGCACCGAGTCTCAGATTTCAGCAAATGCTGAAAACCCAGGGCCTCTGAGTTAGTTAGGCCCTGGGCACTTCAACGTGAGGCCGACAATGCATGCTGGGTATAGAGGCCGAAAACGCCAAAGGGAAATCGGCCCACTATCTGAATCTGGCCGCAGGCCTTGATGAAAGAGGCGCAACTGCATTGCCCCGGGGCCCAACTGTATCGGGCTGGTTTCAGCCCCTGGGGCCCAGTCGCAGGCTGAAGGGAGGCCGCCCACACGCAGCACTGGCATATAGGCAATCAGGGCGAGTGGGCAGGGATCCTTGGCCAATGCAGGCATTGCCGGCACGCTGCGCGAGTGCGAGGTGTGCTGCGCTGTGTAAAGCTGCGTTGGGCATGAGGGAGACAGGCAGCGCTAATACGGTGGTGCGCTGCCTGGGCGCAGGGCGCTGGTAGCCATAGCCGGGCTGCTGGCGGGGGCAGGGGAGGTGAGGGCGAAGGTGGTTCTTCGGAGGTGAAGGGCACTGTGTGGGTAACAAGGGAGAATGTGGGTGAAAAGGACACGTACCTGGTGGAGGTGGAGGTCGGCATTGGTGTTGACATCATCACTCGCTGGTAGTCAAGTTGTCTGGTTGCTTTCATTGCTGTAGTTGTAGGCTAGGCTGTAGAGTAGATAGGGCGCCTGGCGCCATTCATAAGAGAGAGCTACATTGGGTTATGCTGTTGGTGTTGCCCTGTTGGGCATGGACATTGACTCACGATTCTTCTGTATCATTCTCAATTGGATGGTTACTCGGTTCCATTGTGCTATCTGCTTTGGCTATGACTACTTGGACTTCAGTGTGGTTTTGCATTCTGGATTTCTGTGCTTCGTCCATATTCATGTTCCTTGCACTTTCTTGCCATTTATGTTTTATCTGACAGGCCATTATAGTGGACCTGAGAGGAAAGGGAGAAGCAGGGCAAGCTGACAGTCACGATGCTGGAGTAATCAATGCTGGTCAGGGTTTCTTCAGCCAGATGGAAGGAAGCGTATGTGTGTTCAAGATGTAATATTTTATTCTGACTTGCCGGTGGAATAGGAACCGGACTGGTGCTCCCCAGAATGGAAATGGAGCCAGGGCCATAAGGACCTGTTTTATGGAAAAGAAAAAGGGATTTTTAAATACATATGCTCTCATTGCTCTGTTTGACGACCTTGAAATATTATCATTGAACTGATAGGTCCCAGGTGATTCAGAATTTGTTTTCTTCTGTGCATCTAGCCACATCTGGATTCGTAAAAAAAAAAAAAAAAAAAAAAAAGCAGAATGAATCCTCTGCTGAAACATGAAACCATACACCGCCATATGCTATGTCTATTGTGCATTTGCTGAGTAGTGGAGCAGTCCCCACTGGACGTATCCGTAAGAAAACAAAAAAAAACAAAAAGAGCAGAATGAATCTTCGGCTGAAACATGGAACCATACACCGCCATATGCTATGTCTTTTGTCCATTTGCTGAGTAGGCCCCACTGGACGTATTCGTAGG